CCAAACCATGTTTGCCTGCATGCAAAGCAAGTGCCTTAACTCCTGCACCATCTCTCTGGCCCTAGCATTTGTTTTAACAGTCACTTAGAGCTTCCTCGGGCCTAGAACTCAACACTCCCAGGAGCCATCTGGGGTGGGCATGCCCAGAGGCAAATGCAAGGGCAAGGGCAGTGTTAGGGTGAGGGAAAGGTGGTACTAAGGAGGCTGGCAGAATGTGGGCAGAGAGTGTCATGTCCAATATCCTGGGCTCCCTCTCACCTCTCGTAACTCCCTACCCTACCCCTGCATCCATCCCCTGCTCGCCTCTGAGACTTCACCCCTGCACCCCTCAGCCTACCACGCCCTCCCCATGCCCTGCTCACCTCCAAGCCTTCACCCCTGCACCTCTCTGCCTGGCACACCCTTCCCATGCCCTGCTCGCCTCCGAGCCTTCACCCCTGCATCCCTCAGCCTAGCACACCCTCTCCATGCTCTGCTCACCTCTGAGCCTTCACTCCTGCACCCCTCAGCCTAGCACAGCTTCCTCATGTCCTGCTCACCTCTGAGCCTTCACCCCTGCACCCCTCTGCCTAGCATGCCCTTCCCATGCCCTGCTCACCTCTGAGCCTTCACCCCTGCACCCCTCAGTCTAGCAAGCCCTCCCCATGCCCTGCCGGGTCACTCTACAAGTCTCCAGCACAGGAACACTTCCTCTGGGCTGCTGGGCCTCCATGGCCATTTTGCTCCTGGTCCCAGGACCAGCAGAACCAGCCCCACGGCCCTCCCTGTGGAGTCCGTGTCACATCTGTGGTGAGAAACACTGTGTGCACAGGCAACGTCCTCTGGGAGGGGCGGTCCCTGATGCTGTGGAAGTGGGGTGGGAGCTTTGCTGGCACTTCCGAAGCAGCTGCAGGGCACCTCATGACCCCAAGAGTGTGGCAAGTGAACAACTCAGGCGGAGTTGCCTGGTGTTTGTTTTCCTTCTTTTTGTGGCAGTCGGTACCGACTTTCCATTTGTCGCGGCATCACTTTTTCTTCTTTCCAATGTCCTTGGGAGTTAAGCAGAAGCGACAGTGACCCCTGAATGCACAGGTTGTTTGTGTGAACAGCCAGATTGCTAATGCCATGCCTCGCAACGCTAGTGCATGCTCTCCCCTCACTCATGGGATTTTACTCAGCCTCAGCCTCAGAGGTTTATTGGGTGCCAAGCTTTGTGTTGTAGAGACCCTCGAATCTGGACCCAGTACCCTATGCACGGGGCATTATAGACCACTGGAAGAGGATGGGACAGGCCCTTCCCACACAGGATATCTGCAAGTGTCAGGCGTCTCTGAACACCGGGAGCTGCAGAACCATAGGGTGGTGTGCATTCAGGAGGACTGCCAAGAGGTGGTGACCTGAGCTGAAACCTCACAGATGAGAATTAGGATGGATAAAGGAAGTGTAGAGAGGCTCCCTAGATGTGACTCAGCCTACAGTGCGTGCCTTGCATGCACAGGACTTAGATTCTATCCCTGGAAACATGTACACACACACGTGTGTGTGTGAAGGAGAAGAGCAGAAGAAGTATATGTGTGGGGTCCAGGGCTGAGAGGGAATGCTTAGAATCCATTAATGTCCTGGCCTTTGGTAGCCTCAATTTCTCCCTAGGAAATGAAACAATATCTCTAGGTAATGGTCTCTGCCTCAGTAGACATGCATTCTCTCCCTGGGGGTGTTCTGAGTGAATTTGGGGATACCCTGACAGACGAAAAGAGGAGCTGAATGTGGACATAGGCTTGGCTTCTGGAGCCCTGAGGCAAGAACTCGAAGTCTGGCTCTCAGAGAACTGAGCTTGGTTAGTTTATCCAGGAGCAAAGAAGAAACCTGGGGCCCCTCAGCAAGCTCCCTCTGATGAACCAGAAAGGGATCCCCTGAGTCTGCAGCCATTGAGCTAAGGCTGGTATCTGTCAGATGTTTCCAGGCATGGTATGTGACTGGGGTGGGAGGCCAGTTGGGGAAAGGGGGTCAGCAGCTTGATCTGGACCCACCTTCACATTCAGGGACCTTCTAACGAGCCCAAGGCAGACAGTGTGTGCGTGGGTACCAGGTTAACCCAAAAGCAACATCCTCAGGCTCCAAAAGGTGGGTGATGCCCATCAAGGTCTGCTCGGTGCTGGGCTCCATGCTCAGGCGTTTTCCATTCACTTTATCCCCCTGGCCGCACTTGCTAGAGACCATGCCCATGTTCCAGATGGAAGATGTGAGGCTGAGACAGGGTACCAAGGCTATAAAGCAAGTGCACGGCAGAGCCTGTGGTAGAAGCTAAGTCTCTGTGACTCCCGTTATCATGGTGATGGCGGACCCTCCACAGCAGTGCTTGGAGCCACAGGGTGCCAGGGATTCGACCGGGGACCTCACACAGGCAAGGCTTGTGCTCTACCACTGAGCCACCTCCCTGGCCCTTTGTCTGCTTTCTGTTGTTAAGATGAAGGGAGGTTGTCGCTATTGAGAAGCGAAGGACCCCTGAGAAAGCAGGGGAGAAGCGCCCCTCCGCTGTCCTCCTTGTGGAGCTGCTTTGAACAGAAACAGGGATGTTGGGGGTGCCCCGCAGTATCCCCCAAGAAGGAGGCAGAGGAGGTGCTGCCTTCCGCAACCGTCCCCAAGGAGTCGCAAACTTCACACTCCCTCTTGGCCCCTTCCTGTCTCAGCCAGCCAGGCCTTTGACTTCAGCCCTTCACCGGCAGAGCCTCCCCTGCGTGTTCCAGATGTGGTGGGAGGCAGAGAGAGAGGCGGTGAAGCCCCCACTGCCCCCCGACCCAGGCCCCCTGAACTTGGGAACCTGGGCTCTGAGCACCAGCTTTAGAATATGACTTTTGGCACGTCACTTGCCCTCTCTGGGCCCGAGTTCCCACCCGGATAATGAGGATGTCAGCTCACAGCCCCTCCTCTGGGCCATGGAATCCTCCAATACTTGGCCTGTGGGTCAGCCCAGGAATCCAGCCAAGGGGTGGGGCCACCTGCTTGGCCGGCTTGCCTCCCCCACCCGACCCCCTTTTATGTCCTAAGCAGAGTCTCTCCTCTCCCTTGTTCGACAGCTCCCAGCAGCTGTTCCCCGGGCTCAGGCAGAGAGCCCGGCTTGGCGTGCCTCTGGCTGAGGCCGATGAGAGAAAACAGGTTAAAAGTTCAGCCCTTGTTCTCTCCAGGAAGAAAAATCTGTAGCATTCCGCGTGTGAAAAGGAGCCCTCTTTTCAGCACCACAATAGAACTTCCCTCCAATATGCCACCAAAAAAGGCATCCTTGGCACTGGACTTCACCATCCCTGGCACCCACCCCCCCAGGGCAGAGGGACACGGTGACCCCGAATATATGTCACAGGCTGCCAGGGAGGCTCACCGCCATGGCCATGTCCCCTCTTGTCAGCCCCCTGGTCTGCCGGGGGTCACCACTGCCCAGATGCCTCCTCTGGCCTCCCTGGCCTGAGTTCCATTGCCTGTGATCTCGCATTTCCACCAGCAGTGACCTGCATACTGGGCACCTTGTCCACTCCTCTGTCTAGAGTTCATCCAGCCAGGGTCCCCAAAATGAGTCTCCAAAACCATATGACCTGTACCTGCCCCTCTTGCCACCTGCTCCTTTGTGATGTTTGCCAAGTCTGTGACCCAGCTGTGCCCCAGCTGCCTTCTCTCCAACATGAGACTGCTGGGTTCGAGCAGGCATTGGGGTCCCAGTGCTGGCTGTTGATTTCTGGGGACACTGTGGCCCCAAGCTTGGTGATCTGAGTGCAGGGATTGATTGGTGATTCCTGCCCTGGGCATGGGTGTGAAGCCTGGCCAGAGCACACTCCCGGGATCAGGGCCTGGAAGCTCTATCATGCCCCTATAGGTCCCGCGACCTCCTCTCTTGCAGCTGTGTTCCCTTGGGTTCATGCTGCTTCATAACTGCTATACTGAGAACTGCACATAGCAGGGTCTCATTACTCACCCTTTCTACTTGTGGGTTCCTGCTCAGTGCCCGTTATGCCGTGGACATCAGGATATATCCGTTGAGCGCATATTTGAAAGGGGCCAATTTAAATCTATTCAGTGCATTGCCATTGAGTTCAAAGAGTGTTTTTTGGAGCCCTGTGGCAAAGAAGGGGCCGAGGGGGCGAGGGGTCCTGAGCCTGATCGGTGGGTGAGTGGTCCTGTGGGTTTGCTCATCACACCGTATGGCTCCTTCCCTCCAGCTGCTGGAATTAGAGGAGGCAACGAGAGACCTGACAGCTTCAGGAACGGACCCGAAGGTCCTGAACCCCAGAGGGCAACTCTCTGGCCAGCCCCTCCTGGCACTGTGCTCAGCCCTCCATGTCCAGTGCCCTCTCGGAGGGGCAGAGTTGGCCAAGTTCTGGGGGAGGGGCCACTGACTTAGGGACACTGTGGGGGATGCCAGATTCCTGGAGAAGGGGTGAAGGGATCCTTGACTCGAAGCCCACGCCAGAAGGTGGAGGAGGGGTAACATGGGGCTCTGCTTGGACAGAATGGCCAGCTCTCTAGGGTTTTCTTTTGAAAAGGCAGCTTTTGAAAATTCAGTGCAAGCCAAAACTCATGCAGACACCCTAAATGACCATACAATTTTGAAACTGGGTCAGAGAAAGAGCCCAGTGGACTGAGCACATGTTTTGCATGCAGGAAACCCAGGTTCAATTCCTGGCACTGCATGGTATCCTAAGCACTACAGGGGCAGTGAGCTCTGCCAGGTGTGACCCACAAACAAAAAACAAACAGAAGTCTGGATTTCCTGGTGGATTCTGAAACTCATCAAGGGCACCCTGGTGAAGCTCCTTTTCTGACAGGGCAGGAGGGAATGGCATCTTGATGGGTGGGACAAGATTGGTCGAGAGTGTTGTGGATGATGGGACTGGACCTTCAGGTTGGCACCTAGAGGAATGGCATCAGATGACTGGCCAGAGTATAGAATTGGGTGGGGTGAAGGGCCAGAGAGGTGGGGTGATTGACAGGACTCTGCAGGCAGACTGACAGTGACTCTGCTTCCCCCACAGAAACGCTGATGGACTCTACCACTGCCACTGCTGAGCTGGGCTGGATGGTGCATCCTCCATCAGGGGTGAGTCAGTGGTCCCCAAACCCTGCCTGGCTGCCCGGGCCACCTCAGGTTCTCAAGGCCCTGCATGCCCCCTTCCCCCTCCCTTTCCAGCTGCTTCACTTCCTACAAAGCTCAGAACCAGGCCTCTCATTGCCCACTCTCCTGATCCCTCACCACTGATGGAGCCCTGGTTACCATGACAACATGCTGGATGCTTTGAGCCTTTTTCCCATGGCCCCCTCAGGGTGAGACTAAGAAGAGACACCCCCATTTTTATAGCTAATAGGTAAGAAGTGTCATTTCCTGAGCCTCAGCTGTCAGATTCTGAGTCAAGCACTTTCACCTGCAGCATCTCCAGTCCTGTGGGGAGGAATTACCTCTCCGCTACGGCTGGGGAAACTGAGGCACAGAGCTCTGCCAAGGATGGCTTTTGTTTTGGGTCGTTTCTTGGTTTTGGATTTGGTTCTGGGTCACACCTGGCTGTGCCCAGGACTTACTCCTGGCTCTCTGCTCAAGGATCACTCCTGGTGGAACTCGGGGACCATGTGGGGTACCATAGGTGGAACCAGGTTGGCTGTGTGCTAAGCAAGCACCCTACTGGCAATACCATCACTCCATCCCAGCTGGCACAGTTCATAAGGGAAGAGGGCTCAGTGTGTACATAAGAGTGTGACCACCATGTGCTCTGAGCCCCCCCCCCCCCCTCAGCACCCCTCCCTGGGTTTGGCGATCTGAGCCCAGATGTTCTGGCCGAGCTCTGGGGGAGTCTGTCAGGGATGATGTCAGATTCATCTCCCGACAGCAGCCAGCCCAGCACTTGAGTTCAGAGGCCTGGGGTCAGGAGCTGCTGCTCACATGCCAGGGCGTTGGAGCTAGGGGCCTGGCCAGGCCTCGTGGAGAAGATGGAGATCGGCATGTCTTCCTCCCAGGCCCCAATGAGGGTGTCCTGCAGAGCACCCAGCACGGACAGAGAGGGGCTCCTAGTAGCCGGCAGCTGTCATAGCTGTCACCGCCATCACTGTCATCACTCCAACATTTCCTTATCTCACTGGGTCTGGGGGAGTGCTGGGCGCACGCAGCCCATCCATTCCCTTCCCCCCAGCCCAGCCCCTCTGCTGGGACTCAGCTGCTGCCCCAGGGGCCTGAATCCCACCCCCCAAGCCCAGGCTTGTGCTCTCAATAGGCAGGGCCCCGGGGTCAGGCCTCTTTCTGTGGCTCTTTCTTGTCACCAATTTTCCATCTGCGAAGGCAAAGGCTACTGGGCCCACAGCCCCACCCAGCCAGTAATGAGGCCAGGCTGGGCTGCAGGGCCCCCGGACGCAATTATTCGGGGTGTTTGGGCTGTAGGGCCTCCGCATGTTAATTAGAGAGAGGGGAGAAAGGCAGAGTGCTCTAATTAAGTGCTCTAATTAAGTTCTGAAGAAGAGCAGTGATTGTAACAAGGGGCTGACTTTGTCACATGGTGCCACCAAAAAGAAAAAAAAGAAGAAATGCAATGTAGGAGCTTAGAAGCGGCCATCGCAGGCGAGGCAAGGCTAGGCCAGGCTAGGCCATCGCAGGCGAGGCAAGGCTAGGCAAGCTAGGTGAGGTGAGACGAGGTGTGGCTCAGACTTCAGGGCAGCCTCTCCAGTGCTCTCTGGGGGCACACACTGTCGCTGCTTCTCCCCATGCACATGGGGCCCAGAGAATCGAAGGGAGCCAAAGGGTGAGGATCAGTCCTTGGAGGGTAATGCGTCTCCAGTCCCCAGAACCCTGTCCCCCTTGGTCACATGTGAAGGCTGGGATAATAGAAGAAATGACTTGTCCAAGGTCACACTGGACATTGACAGAGCTGAAACAAGAGCACAGGGTTTTGGGGCACTCTTGGCATCTCATTTCTGGGCAGCATGGATGGTTCAGAGCTCCTGACCACGTCAAGGGAACTCACTTCTTCCATCTCTGCTCCATCGTCTTCTGTAAAATGGGGATAAGCACGCATACCCTATGCCATCCCCATGACAGAGAACTGAGGACCTGGACACTCCTGCTGGCCCTGGTGGGCAGGGGTGCTCTGCTGTTGGGGAACTTTCCTTTTCCCCGGCAATGCTGGGCATGGAACCCGGAGCCTCGCCATGCCATCAGGCAAGCGTTCTGCTGCTGAGCCCCGTCCTGGACCTTGGTGCACTGAGCCCAGAAGCCAGTCCAGCACCCGCAGCACATGGGGGATGGAAACGTGGGTTGCTTGCTGCCTTAGCACACTCTCCTTGCTCCCGGGGTGACCGTCCCCAAAGGCCCAAGGGAGAGTGGGTGCATGCAAACCCAGCCAGAGGGAGACTCTGCTGCACAGGGCTACGGAGGATGGATAGATACGAGCCGGAGTGGAAGAGAGCCCGGAAGAGCAAGCATAGGCTCAGTGGCGGGAGGAGGGAGGGGAGGGAGGGACAGGGTTGACCTCTGTGGGCACCCCTGGGCCCTGCTGCCCTTCCACACTCCCCACACCCCACCCAGCAGGGAGCATGGAAGTGTTCTCTAGTGGCATCTTTGTCCTTTTCCATCTCAGGGCAGAGCAGCTGTCCTGGGGATGGACCCAGTGTCCCCATCCATGGGGGTGGGGTGGGTGGAAGGTCCCAGGGTCCTGGTTTCAAGCATACAGCAGAAGGGATTCCCTTCTATGGGGCCTCTCTGAAGCAGGGGTCTGTCTTCTTTATCAGATTAGCGGACCCCTAAAGAAGTGTCACCTCTCCCATAGATCAAGAGGAATGCCAAGGGCAGGGCAGAGGGTCTTGCCATCAGATTGGCATGTCTCCCTCGCAATCCAGGGGAACTTTCTAGGGTTAGGTCCCTGTCTCCCTCCTAGACTGGGAGTCAGTAGAGAGCATTTCTCTGCCACCAGATTAGAGAATCCTTAAGGTCGAGTCTGTGCCTCCTCTGTCAAACAAGGACATCCCTGATGCCAGGGGCCCCATCTGCGCCCATTCGATGGGTGAGGTGGGGGGGAGACAACTTCCCACTCGTGTCTCCCTTCATAGATGGGGTGTTCCCAAAACTGCGCCCCCGCCTCCTCCCGCTGACTCGTATTTCGCCCACAGTGGGAAGAGGTGAGTGGCTACGACGAGAACATGAACACGATCCGCACGTACCAGGTGTGCAACGTGTTTGAGTCCAGCCAGAACAACTGGCTGCGGACCAAGTTCATCCGGCGCCGCGGCGCCCACCGCATCCATGTGGAGATGAAGTTCTCGGTGCGTGACTGTAGCAGCATCCCCAGCGTGCCCGGGTCCTGCAAAGAGACTTTCAACCTCTACTACTATGAGGCTGACTTTGACTCGGCCACCAAGACCTTCCCCAACTGGATGGAGAACCCCTGGGTGAAGGTGGACACCATCGCAGCTGACGAGAGCTTCTCGCAGGTGGACCTGGGGGGCCGGGTCATGAAGATCAACACCGAGGTGCGGAGCTTCGGGCCCGTCTCCCGCAGCGGCTTCTACCTGGCCTTCCAGGACTACGGCGGCTGCATGTCCCTCATCGCCGTGCGGGTCTTCTACCGTAAGTGCCCACGCGTCATCCAGAACGGTGCCGTGTTCCAGGAGACACTGTCTGGGGCAGAGAGCACGTCCCTGGTGGCTGCCCGGGGCAGCTGCATCGCCAATGCCGAGGAGGTGGACGTGCCCATCAAACTCTACTGCAACGGGGATGGCGAGTGGCTGGTGCCCATCGGCCGCTGCATGTGCAAGGCCGGCTTCGAGGCTGTGGAGAATGGCACCGTCTGCCGAGGTAAGGGCTGCAGAGGGGCGGGTGTTCTGGCCGGGACTACGAGCTGGCGTCTGACACTTGGGGTTGCCAAGTGACTGTGAGGAGTTTCTTAAACAACGGTCCTGTTCTGCTGTTGAGCAAAGGTGATTATTTTGGGGGGAAAGGAGGGGAGATTGAGACTAGGGGAACTTTTGTTTTGTTTTGTCTGGGGGACCACCCCGGCAGTGCTCAGGTCTTTCGTAGAGATCTGTGCTCAGGAATCACTCCTGGAGGTGCTTGAAGGAGCTTACCGGGTGCTGGGGGGGATCGAACTCGGCTCAGGCAAGCATGCCAGGGAAGCACCCACCATGGTACCATCACCCAGCTCCTAGCAGGAGGTGTCTGCACAGCACTTCTTGAATGGTGGTACGCAATCCCGTGAGTATTCCCGCGAGGGGGATGACGTCCAGCTCTCGGTGGGTTGGGTGTGAGCGGCTCCCATTGTAATTGCTCTGTGAATATGAATGAGGGCGAGTGTCTTCATTTTCAGAGAGCTCTGGTTTCCTTTTTAAGAAAATGTGCCATCGTTGTGGCTGACTTGAGCTACTGGTTATTAAGCTTTGTTCTCCATCAATGTGGGGCAGGCGATGCAGAGCTGACCAAACAAGGAAAGTTTCTTCTTTATCAGCACTGCATGTCCCTGGAGGGTCAGCTTGGGGTTCCTCTGGGAGACAAGTAGATAGAGGGGCCCATGATTGGGGTGCTGAGATCACCCGAGGGGAAGGAAGCCTGGGATTTGGCAGGCTGAACACTGCTGCCCTGTGCGCTTAAGAGGGGGGGCCACTAAATTCAGCCCACGCGGCAGTGGAGGGAGGTACGTGGGGTACAAGGCAGTGGGGCCGATGACAGGGTCACTGTGCCATGGTCGGTGGGGTGGTGGAGGATGTCTGCTGTGGGCAGTATTTCCGAGTTGAAGTAATGCTGGGGTATGGCGTGTCCAGCCCTGGCATCCTTCCATCCCCTTTCCTGCACACCCCCCCACCCCCCATCCCATTCTGGAGGCCCAGCCCGGCTCAGCGCACTCCTGGAAATGAGTCACAGAAGCTAGTCAGAATGTACTTAGTAAGCTCATAGGGCCGGAGGGACACCAGCTGCCACCAGGGCCTGTGCTGCAGCTGTGCCATGGGCTACACAGTCCAGTCCCACAGGCACCAGCCCAGGCCACCGAAGAAGTGCGACCCCAACTTCCAGTGGGGACCGAGTACTTTCCCGTCCTCCACGCAGAGTCTCTCGGTCTCTCCCATGCTCTGTACCGGGTTCCGGTACAGATTCTTGGGCCTGGGGCAGCTTCCCTGGGGCTGCCTCTGTGGCTCTGCAGCTTCCATGTCAGAGGAGCGTGTACTCGCTTGGATGATGTGATAGTGGGCCTGGGCCAGCCCCAGTGGGACTCGCCAGACAGACCACAGCCACCGCCACTCTGCCACACTGCCACACACCCACAGAAAATAGGAGGATGTGCTTGGAAAAGACGCATTTAATTCAGAAATATAACCCGATAGGGAGAAAAAGCCATTGCTTTATTAATACGAATTAGAGAAAAGATAGGCTGGCTTCAAGTCTCCCTGGCAGACAGGCAGCCAGTGGTGGCAGCCATCCCCGAGAAGGTGGGCTGGGCTGCGCTGGGGGCTCAGGGGGCTTCTGGATGGAAGGGAGCCGGGGATAGACTTGTAAATTGGTTTGTAAAGGGCGAGGCCAAGCCCATTCGATCCAGGTCAGAGGGCCAGTAGACGAGGTGCTTGCTTTGTACTTGGTCAACCCAGGATGGCTCCCTAGCACTCCACAGGGTCCCCTGAACCCCACCAGGAGAGATCCCTGAGCACAGAGCCAGGAGTAAGGCTCCCAAATGAAAACAAGCCAGCATTTCGTCTGACCAACTTCCTGGGATGCCCTTGGCATGAGGGGTGCAGGGGGAGGAGAGGGACCCCGCCGGGGAAGCCCTGATCACTCACCCCAGGCTCCTCCGTGGGCTCTTGAGCCTGTGTGTTCCTTCTGCTTTCCACTAGCCAGGCACAGATCAGAGTTGGGGGAGACAGTTGTGATCAGGGGGTCATGGTTGTCTCCATCCCTGTTTTCAGTTGTGGGGGTGGTGGACAGGGTAGAGGGGATGATAGATAATTTGGGGATTTTATGTTTGGGTTGTTGTTGTTGTTTGTTTGTTTGTTTGTTTGTTTGTGTTTTTTGAGTTTTTTTTCTTTTCTTTTTGGGCCACACCTGGAAATCCTCAGGGGTTTTCTGGCTCTGCACTCAGGAATTACTTCTGGCAGTGCTGGGGACCATATGGATGCCAAGGATAGAACCAGGGTCGGCTGCATGTAAGGCAAATGCCCTACCCACTGTACTATCACTCAGGCCCCCAATAGTTTGGGGTTTTTTTGTATGCTTGTTTTTTAGAAGTGGGTTCACACCTTTATTGTTTTGGGGTGCACACAGGGGCCCTTGGAAGGGTGTAGTTGGTGAGAACGACCCTGCAGGGACAACCTAGGGTACATTGATGGGTGCCACGGTGCGTCCACAGGGCCTGCACAGTCATGCCGAACCCAGGGAGGGCAAATCTGGGACTTGCCACAGAGTTGTGCCACCTTCCTGCCTGCTCCCCTCAGTCTGTGCCCCTGCCCCCACGCTGGCCACCTACAGTCTGCAGGGCAGGGGGGCAGGAGGCTGACTCTGGGGTTCCTGTTCCCTGGCAGTTGTTCCCACCAAATGCCCGAGTCTGCTTCCCCGACTCTTTCTAGATGTTGCTGGGTTTCATTTCCTAGATGCTCTTGCCTCAGTTTCCCCATGGGGTCTCTCCATCCCTGACTCAGCCCCTCCATGACTCTGCAGCTTCAATAACGGATCTGGAGTCTACGGCACACGAGATCCCATAGGTCTTAATGGGATTCTCAGTATTTAGCTTGGACAGGCAGAGGGGCTGCGAGCCAGCGGGGAGGGTGGGGGTGGGGGTGTGTGCACTCGAAGATCTGCTGACTCCAGCTCAGGCCCCGCTCCCACTACTGGCCCCTTCTCTGCTTCTGCTCGGCCCAGCCCTGCCCTGCCCTGCCAGGCAGCTCCCAGGCCTGATTTTCTCCCCACCCACACCCTCCTCTTCATCTTGGCCCTGAGACCTGGTGTGGAACCCAGCTCTGCCTCTTACTGGCTGTGTGAAGACATCAGTAAACCAGGATAAACAGAAGGGCAGCCTAATGAAAAAAGCTCTGGAAAAGCCTCTGAACAATAAGAATAAAGACTCCAGCACTGCCTCTTTTTTGGGGGGAGAGGGGAGCATATGGCCCTTTCTGTTTTCCTGATCAATATATATATATATATATATATATATATATATATATATATATATATAAAAGGTAAAGGTAAAGGCCCTCCCGTTGATCGTCGATTTGCTCGAGCGGGCCCAGTAACGTCTCCATTGGAGACTTTGTTGTTACTGTGTCTGGCATATCGAATACTCTCGGTAGCTTGCCGGGCTCTCCGAGAGGGGCGGAGGAATCGAACTCGGGTCGGCCATGTTGGCCGCTTGTAAGGCGAACGCCCTACCCGCTGTGCTATCGCTCCTTATTTGGGCAGGGGGAGAGGAAGATACCCTTCCTTATCACAAAAGCAATGCAGTTATTTACAGAATCTTTAGAAAGAAACTGATTAGCAAAAGGGCGAAAATTAAGTCATCCTGAGCTGTCCACTGTTAACACACGTTGCAGCACAGTCGCCCCTATTGATTTTCTAAAAGGAAGATTCCTGCTGAAAACACAGGAGAATGTTTGACTTACTGATATGTTGTGGACATTTACCCCTGTTGTTCCTACCACAACAGGCTGCTGGGAGGCACGTTGAAGTGTAGCTGGCCATGGCTCACTGGGGCATGAGGTGCCACTATAGGTGAGGTGCCACCGTAGCCGTCTCTTGGCCGGGGTTTCACAGCCTTGCACAAATGTCCACAGAACTTCATGGTTCTTCTGTCCTTTGGCACTGCTGCTGTGTTTGCACAGGACACGTTTCCAGGCGTGGAATTGTAGGGTCAGCTGGGACGTGCTTTTGTTTTTTCTAAGCACTTTGGCCATGCACACGCTGCCAGATTGCCCTGCAGAAAGGCTGGGAAGAGTTCCCCTCCTGCGGCTGCCTTTCCAGATTGCCTCTTTCCCCTCATACGCACCAGCATGGGCTGTTATGCCTGAGGCTTTATTTGGTTTCACTCTCAGAATCTAATGTTTCCCCACTCAAGGGAGGGAGGGAGGGAGCCAGAGGCCAGGGGTCCCCTCTGGCCCTCAGAGTTAAACCAGTGGGCCAGCCTTTTTCCGGCCAACTCATCCAGGCTGGCCCCTTGAACCAGTGTTTCTGGTGAGTCTGTGGGGGTGGGAATCAAGGTCAGTCTCGGGAGGAGGGGGAGGGAGTTGGCCGAGCCTCCTGGCTGGGGAAAGGGCGTGAGGGTTGGAATGCTGGGTGGGAGGAGAGGTGCAGAACCCCCTACAGAACATTCTGCTGCTTCTCCTCAAGGGCAGGGTGGAGACATGCAGCTGAAGGGGGGCTGGGGGGACCGTCATCCCCTCCAGACCTCCAAGGACTGAGACCACACAGACCTGTCTTGGGGGAAGGGGGATTGGCTGGGGAGCCTGGCCAAGTTAAGCTGTTCAATCTTTGCTCTTAAAAGCTGGAAACACCCCCATCCTTCGCTGGATACTTTCTTTTTCCATAGCTGTCATCCATCTATTCTTTGGTCTACCTGCCCCTCCAGCAACCCTGTCGCCAGACATTAGAAAACCAATGTCTGGGGCCAGAAGGACAGTACAGCCAGTAGGGGTGTTTGCCTTGCACGTGTCTGACTCATGTTCTATCCCTGGCATCCCATATGGTTCCCCAAGCACCACTAGGAGTGACCACTGAGCATTTCCAGGTGTGGCCCAAGAAAGAGAAAGAAGGAAAGGAAGGAAGGAAGGAAGGAAGGAAGGAAGGAAGGAAGGAAGGAAGGAAGGAGGGAGGGAGGGAAGGAAGGA